ACTGGCTTTAATCAGTTTTAGTGGCGGGATTGACAAAAATATTATCTAGAACAAGTATTCATCTACAATAAAGTGGGTAAGAAGAAATATGCATTTATTTCAACAATTTCAGCAAAATTCAATTTTATATTTTAAAGTCTAAACCAAGAATGGAGCCCAAGCAGCTATAAAGCATGACAAAATGTTGAATCTGAGTTAGCAAGTTCTGTGACGGTAGGATTAAAATTTGTTAAAAAACGGGCAGGCAAGGCTAAAATATATAAACAATGAGATGAATTTGAAATATTTTGCTGGAGAAACTGACCGAACAGTACACAGTATGCATAAGCAGCACATGATAAATTTATTCAAGCCTCTAAAAAACTTGTGAGAAATTTTTCTCTCAAAATAATATTGTTGATTGATTATATATTTAAATAAATTTAAATTTGAATAGTTAATTTTAGTTTTATTTGAATATTGTTTATTTTTAAAATATATTTAAGTTGATTGTTTAATATGTTCAAATTAACTTTTTTTTTTATATATATATGTTTTTAGATATAAAGAAATATTATATGATAATAAATAATTTTTGATTTTAAAAAGAATTAATTTAAATAGTTTCTTAAAGTCAAACACTTTCTTTTATGGTGCCCTGGTTACGGTGGTACGTTTTTCGTTTTAAATTAAAGTTAAATGATATAAGTTTAAAAAAAAAATAAAAAAATATCCTTACCTTGAATTCTTTAGTAAAAATATAAAGTAAACGAATTACTTATCAAATTCGTCGTTCGATATTGGAGATGATATAAGGACAAATAAAATTTTTTGACTATTCTTTTTGATAGTCAAAATTTTATCCAAATTTACAAAATTATAAAAGAATCAAATATTATTCACTACCTTACCTATTATGATTATCTTATCTATTGTGACGATTGCTTAATCCTTTGAGATGACTCTATTTATATGACTACCTATTGTGACGATTGCTTAATCCATTGAGATGACTCTATTTATATGACTACCTATTGTGATGACTATCTAACCTATGGAGACTGCTTAACCTATGGAGACTGCTTAACCTATGGAGATGACTACCTATTATGACTACCTTATCTATTGTGACTACCTAATCTACTGAGATGACTATCTAACCTATGGAGACTGCGTAACCTATGGAGACTGCTTAACCTATGGAGATGACTACCTATTATGACTACCTTATCTATTGTGACTACCTAATCTACTGAGATGACTATCTAACCTATGGAGACTGCGTAACCTATGGAGATGACTAAGAAGAAAAGTTATTAAAAATTAAAATTTTATGCCAGGATAAAGGCATGTTATAAATTTTTAAAATCACTAAAATGTAAAATCATAATGGATATATTTGAACACACTAAAAGCCTTTAAAAAATTATTTACTTAAATTCTTAGTGAAATATTATTTTTTGATTTCTTGAATGATGACCAATTGTTGTAAATTAACTAATCCTAAAAATGAATTCTTAGCTATAATTAAATATAAACGATTATAAATCCTAAACAAGAAGATAAAACTTTAATTTTAAATATATTAAAGTGTAATTAAAACATATGAATTAAAAGGGATTGATTTAAATAACCCTTATAAGTAATACTTAATATGATAAAAATGTTTTTGAAATAAAGCTTTTGAAGACAAAAGGTTATGTAAAAATTAAACATCATTATTTTAGAAAAATATTGTGTGAAATTTTAAATTTTTTTTAAGAGAGGGAAATGTGCATAATATTTGCATATTTTAACCTCGGAGATTGAAAATAAATTAAAATAAATATTAAAACGCTACTAATTAAATATTGAAACGCTAAAAAATGTAAAACGCAAAAAATGTAAAACGCTAAAAGTATAAAACGCTATGATTAACTTAACACCTAAAAAAATAATAGAATAATCATTATGATTTATCATTCCTTATTCTGGATTTTATTCGTTATTCCATAAATTATCATTCCTTATTACATATTTTATTGTTCCGAAATTCAAAATTTTATTCGTGCATATTATTCATATATTTGATTTGATCAACTATTCCAAATTACATATTCCGATTTATTCCAAATTCCAATATTCAACTGGATTAATGATAATAACAATTTTGAGAAATGTGAACAACATACGATATGGATATCAAGCCTACAAAAAACGTACAAACTTACGCAACTCTAATAAACGATTTTATCAAACCTACGTGATAGAATCAAGCCTACGAAAACATTTGAGACTTATGCGTTAACCAAGAAGAAACCTAGTACAATCGAAACAGGAAAAACTTCTAGGACAACAAGCTCTCGATGACTGCTGAGAAGAAGCTTCGTTATTTGTAGAAGAGGGGGAATGTTGATTGATTATATATTTAAATAAATTTAAATTTGAATAGTTAATTTTAGTTTTATTTGAATATTGTTTATTTTTAAAATATATTTAAGTTGATTGTTTAATATGTTCAAATTAACTTTTTTATATATATATATATGTTTTTAGATTAAAGAAATAATATATGATAATAAATAATTTTTGATTTTAAAAAGAATTAATTTAAATAGTTTCTTAAAGTCAAACACTTTCTTTTAAATATAAAAATATATTTATAATATAACGTAGATTACTAGTTTCAAAAATATTAATAAAGTTTGTACCCCTTTTTCTTTCATTCTAAGATGATTTCCAGACGAGAACAACAAAAGGTTCCATGTGCATGTTTCAAGCAATTTTTCGCCTCTTTCATGTACTAATAAATGAGGCTCGAGGCCCAGCAACTACAAAGTTTTCTTTTTTTTTATATACTTAAAAAAAAAAATTGATTCGACAAATTATTATCCTTTGTTTGAAAATAAAATTTATAGAAATATGCATTGGAAAAACATTCTGTTGGGAAAGAGTCTATGAAATTAAGATTATATTATATAATATTTGTTTTCCCTCCATTTTTATTTCCTAGGGTTGCCATGAACAACTCCAAGTTAGTGAAGGTTACGGTCCGGTCTGGCCACGGTCTTAAAAAAACGGACCAGATCGGTTTGTTGACCTTCACTACTCCAAATTATAAAAGTATTCAATTTATTAGTGATGCAAATGTTTTAATAATGTTTCTACCATGCCATTCATTTGGGTTTACTTTATTTGTTATTTCTTCAAAACATAGCTTTTATGTGTACGTGTATAGTTAGTATGTACTAGAAACTAAAATCTGTTGCATTAGCTCTAAAAAGGACAATTGGCTGCTTGACTTATGAAGCACATGCAAATATCAAGACATCCACTTATAAAATAGAGAGCATTTGTAAGATGATCAAAAATAATGGAATTTTTGAAGGCTTTCAGGTTTTATATTTAATATAGCTTTTGGTAATAATGATATAAATATTTAATATTTGGGTAAGATTATAACAATATTAGTAATATTCATGACAATATAATATTGAAGATGTGTAAGAGGATGAAATAAGTAGATTAAGATAATTGATGTTCATAGCACCTAGAAAGAAAGTTCTAAATTATTTTATATTTAATTTTTTAACATAAATGAATAAAACTTCTAATCAAATATAGGATCTTCAATTATCTTATATTGCCTGGTCATAATCTATGTTCCTGTCACAATTTAAATTTCGTTGCCAGTGAATGCTGAAGGAGCTTTATCGAATAAGAATTTTAAAAAGGTGTCAATCCACATTTTCTAAATGCCAAATTCTGTGGAATAAACCAATGACATATATAATAACTAGACTGACGATTCATTCATTAAAAGTGTACATCAATGCAAATCAGCTGGAGACGCCATCTTGGTTACAGTAATCATTATTAAAATTTTAAACGAGCCTAATTTATTCCTATATCTGATGGAAACTTTATTGAAGAATTAACGGATTATCGAGATAATAAGGAAGCAAGTTATCAATTTATTAGTAGCTTTTTACATGAGAATAATTACTATATGTGTTACCAAAATGGCGGGTCCAGCTGATTTGCTTTTAACGACGCTTAAAAATGCATTTTAATGAATGAATCGTCAGTCTAGGTATTATATATGTCATTGGAATAAACAGACTGAATCATTTAAGGTGTCAGATGTCTTCAAAAAATTAATTAGGCCGTTACTTATAAACACCCAACACGGAATAATGTTTAAAATGCTATGAAACTATTAGCATTGTTTCTGGATGAGAAAATATTAGTAATGAATTATATATCTGATCAAGTAGTGTTCGTGTGACAGATAATTACAAATTAGTATTAGACTATATTTTAACATATCTTAATTTCACTTTAAGATAAAATTACATATTCTATTATATTTCGTGAAGTTTATATTACAATAATTTATATATAAAATTAGCTTTATATATTACTTTAGAATGTTAAGTTGAATTAAGAAAGTGATCAAATAATAGAAACGAAAAAAAGTAAAAAAATTTTTATTTAATCTATATTCGAATATTGTGCAATGAACATTTTGAATTGTAATCATATTAGAAATATGTTTAATAACATCATTCCCTATAAAACATAATTGAGCCATATCTAGTATCTTATCTGTATACAATTTAATATACGTTCAAGATTCTCTTGTCAAATTGTGGCCTAGAGAAAGGAATGGCAAAAAGTAGAAATCCAGTGAATAAATTGATAAGGAGCAGACTCTCGTTAGAAAATATATTGAATGATTTTCTAATTAATAAATATCTTTTTATTATATTTAATCACTTTAATTTTTTAGGTTATGCAATATTTTGCTGCTTCCCTCACTTAAAATCTTAGGTAATGAATAATACGAGCATGGGAAATTATGCCCCATCCCCACTGTATCTTATTTACCAAGCTAAAAGGACTTGATAATCTAAATTTTGCTAACCCTTGGTAGAATATCTATGCCAAAAGGCAATATATAAAATATGGCACCCGTACTTTATTATATATACCTATTTTCACGATTTCTCGTTATATTATAGACAAAATAAAATATGTCGGATAAAAAATAATATCACAGCCATTCATAATTTTTCAAATGAAGAAAAAAATAATTTGTTTATAAAATTTAATTAAAAAATTTGAGTCTTTTACACAATAATACCTAATTTTAAAAATAATTCGTAAATGTAATCATACATTATTATGTTATCATAAATTTAATTATTCATTCCTCCTCGTCATCAAAATCATCTTCATCCAAATCATCGTCAGATTTGTCCACTGCTTCGTCATCATCAAAATCTTCCATCTCTTCAGAATCGTTCGTTGAGTCAGCATCTTCGTCGTCCAATTCAGGTTTCTTTTCCAGTTTTTTAATCGCCTTCTTATTTTTGGGGACGGCATTTTTGTTGGTGGCTTAAAGAATAAATGATGTACAAAAAATATAAATCTTTAGGTTATGGCATGTCTTGGTTCGTCTTATTTTTTGAAACTTATATTATTTTTTTACTCCAGTCTATTGAAGATTTTAAACTAGTGCATCATATTCTCTTATAAGAGTGAAGTAAAAAAAATAGCCTCTTTCCTATTATTCTGCTTAGAGGAGAAAACTATATAGACGGCCAAGTAGATTTCGATGACCAATATTTAGCTATATTTGAAAAATATCGGATTGGGCCAATAGTCTTTTTTTATTGTTTTGGGTCATTTTAATGATTATAATATATAATTATATTTATTTTTATTTATTTTATAAATAATTTCTTAATAATAAATTAATGAAAGATAATATACAATTTCTTTGTCGTAATATTTTTTAAAAAAAATAGTTAAAATTTTTACACTATTTATTGTTATATTATCTGCAAAAAAAAGAAAAGGATTTTAAATAGATAACAAAAATAAATTACGTTTTTCGGTCTTCTTCTTGTTTCCTGTTTCCGGGTTTTGTTTTTTTGACGTTAGTTCACCACTTTTTTCGGGTTGGCGTTCAATTTTGGGCTTGGTTAGGGCGTAAGTTACGTATACGGGCCTACCGCTAACAATTTTCCCGTGGCATTCTCGGAAAGCGTTTTCGGCTTCTTCGGGATTCGGATAAGTGACAAAAGCAAATCTAAAACCAAGAAAAATGTTTAAAAAAAATGAGATAATTTAATGAAAATAAAAGAAATTACGAAGAATAATATGAAGTTAATATTAAATATTAAGCAATTTTAGTATATTATTTTCTTCGTTCTTGTTATTGAATTTGGTTTACATAAATCAGAAAAATTATGTTTTATAAATATTAACTTGAAGCTCCCTTTTCCTTTATCGAATTTTAGGACGTTTATACTGGAAGAACTTGTAAATAATCTTTTCAGAATTTCTTTAGTTGCGTCCTTACCAAACCCAGTAACATATAGGGTCTTTGGATCATACGGTCCTTAAATATTAAATTTAATACATTTAAATTAAGTGACAGTAAATAAATACTTCTCTTCTTTTTTAAAATTGAACCTTCAACCCTTTTAGTCTGCAATGTTTTCATGCAATTCGGTTTATATTATGGAAGTGAGTTACAAATTTTGATAATAAATTATATGAAGTAATTGATATAGATGATTATTGCAGTCTCTGCTACAAATTAATTCTAGCTCTTTATGTAATCTAATCTACTATAACCTTTGATTAAACAAACAGCTTAACTATCTCGTAGATTTCTTACCGATATTACATGTGGGATCAAGGCCGATATTTACCGTTCCTAAATAATCTGATCTGGAGTAATTTTATACATAATTTCCTAATAAATAATAATTAAATGGATTAAAAAATCGAAAAATAATTTTTTTAAAATTATTTAATGATCCTCATTCAAGTCATAAACATAGCCCATATTTTAAATCATTCGTTTTGGGTCAATAGAAGATATTCAATTACTTTTTTTTCTTATGATATTAGTTAAACCAAATATCGGATCGGTTTTGAAACGAATACCGGGTAGTGTCAGATAAGAGAGTGTTGAACCGATTTTTATAAACGGCTCCCTCAATATTTTAACCGGAAAAGTATCGCCGAAGCTCCTCGAGATATGGTTAATAGATGTCCAAACCTTTGTGTCATCTTTGAGCAAATCTTTCGAGCTCGCGTAATATTTTTCTGGATAAAACATTGAGTCAGCAGTTTTTAGAAATCGGCTCAAAACGAGCCGTTTAACGGCACTAGACAAAAATTGAATCACTTGATAGATATGGTTTGTCGAGTGGCACCTTCCTCTCACTTTTATCCCCGCAATAATCGAAGGTTACGTCCTTGGTGCCCAGTTTTTTGTTTTTTAGGGATTTAACAGCTTTCACGCAGGTTGCCTCATCCTCGAATTCGATGAAGGCTCTCCTTTCATTGTAAATGACATAAATATATAATACATGAGAGACACATCAAATAACATTCGGCGTCAGGATGGTACTAGAAAGAATCTGTCAAGCGTCAGCTGGTAATTTAAGATTTAATGAATACTCAAAAAATTGATAATTAGCTTTCACAAATTTGAAAAAAAAGGTCATTGTAAAAAATTTCTAAACTGATAAAAAAGTTAAAAAGAAAGAAAGGGATTTAGAATCCCCCTATTTTAAATCCTTAACCGACGACCATTTTTAAATTTAAATTATCTGATTTGATTGGAAATGTATTCCAGATTATGTAGAGTACATACATAACTTACAGGGATGTACCGATATTTTTTATCGGATCGAGCCGATATTTCACTCATTTTAAAATATCGGTTATCGGCCAATATCATAAAATTTACAAATTCGATATAAAATGGCGTCTTTAACAAAAATATAAAATTTTTAAAAATAGTTATATCTAAAATCATTTACTTTTATAAATAAAATCGAAATCCATTCTTATGTATATTTTTTTTAAAATAATAATTAATAAACATTCTGCCATATTGCTATTTTTTTTTGCGCATTCTGTTTATAAAAGTGTGCGATTATCTCTTCAAAATCTGTTTTTAGTGAAGCAGGTGATAGAGAAATAGGAAATTTTGGTATTTCTAAAAAGAAATCTTCGATATTCAATGTTAAATATTTATTTCAAATTTCATATATATTTGTTTATTACTTATTATGTATATAGATTAATGTTATTACTTATTATATAAGAGATTTAACAATAAAAATATTTTATATACTTTTAGAATTGCAATCGAATTGAATATAAACTATAACTGATCAATATAATGCATTTAAATGACATAAGTTATGGTATAGTTAAGTTATAGTTGCTATACTAATAAAAAGTATATTAAAATTAAAACCACTGGTATCTTTACAGAATACAAAATTAGATATAATATCGGATCGGTAATCGGTATCAATTTAATATTAAGAATATTGGCGGCTTCCAAAAAATGGTATCGGTACACCCCCTAGTATTTGGGAAATTATTACATAAACGTCTATAAATTTTCTTATATTTTAGATGAGCCGACTTTTGTAGATAGCCGAAAGGGGAAAACATTGCTCTTTTTTTAAATTTTTTTTTACCGATATAATGTCATATACAGGTATAAAACTTACTACCGTTGTCTAGGAGCTGAGTGTATGGTAGTGCTTCATTAATCAATTTATCATCTTATACCAAATTTATTTCTATGGACGGGACGTTTTACATGTGTCCAAGCTTTGTTAACCAAATATATACCATCCACATTATGTATAATCAAACTATGATACCTATTTTATACGCACTTCTTCCAGATAAAAGGAGGGAGTCATATATTGAGCTATTTCAAATACTAGTATATAGTACATTAAATGGTATCCATTTTTTGCCAGATATTGCACAATAATGAAGTAGGAGCAATATCTGCTCTACAATTTGTATTTCAGAATAATTTAGTTAAGGGTGGTTTAAATTGTATATAGGTGTAACATAATTTATTTCTAGGCTGGTTCTTCCACTTTATGTAAGCCGTTCGGCGTAAAGCTCAGCATTTAGGCTGGTAAAGCAATATTAAGAAGAGTCTAATGTGTAACACCATTGTTCGAAGGATGAGTGTACTTCCTTTATGCAAGAGAAGACATTGAAGTAGTCCTTGATTCGTGCATAGATTTGGTACTGGAAGGAGTGAATGTATATTAGGGATCATCGTTCGATTATACATAATATGGTTAATATATATATTTAGCTAATAAAGCGCTGACACGTGTAAAACGTCCCGTCCATATACATGAATTTGGTATAAGATGATGATAAATTGAGTAACGTGGCAGAACTAAATATAATTAGTTTGTTATTGTTATTTTTTTTATTAACAAATTATCACCACCGAACGTTGTTATCAGGTCAGTGGTCGATACAATAGAGTCATTGCTAAGGGGGATTATTTGGCCTAGTTTGTTTTAAAACACGGCTAATTGATACTTTTGACCGAAATAAATGGTGTTAGGGCCCCAGAATATAATACGGTCTCACCCTTAGATGTAAATTTGTATGTGTTAAGTATTTCGACTATTGATGAAATATTTTTTAATGCTATTTAAAATAATTACTAAATTCGTAAAACGCGTGCTTAATTAATAATATAATTTGTAATTATGTACCTAAAATTTATTGTAATTTCACCCTTAAGATACATATTTGTATTAAGTATTTTAACTATTCATGAAATATTTTAATGCTATTTAAAACAATTATTATATTTGTAAAACGTATGCTTACTAGAATTATTGTTAATTATATATATGTTGTATTCCATATCAAATCAACTGAAGATTCAACCCGATCCCCTTCGATTTTTTTTAAATTTGTATGATGGCAGTATATACACTAACTGGTAAAAATATAAAATTTTAATTCTCGACTCAGCTTACTTCATGAGATATGGCCATCTTTAGAAACGCGGAAATTCCAAAATACACTATATTTAATATTAAATATCACAAAAAGTAATTAAGCTAAAGACATGATTTAAATTTTATTAAATAGCTCTTTAATATGACATAAAAGCATTCATTTTATTGAAAAAAAGTCTATTACCAAAAAACCGGAAATGGCTATAAAATAAAAATTGATGTTTTTTTTTAATTTTTTTTTACAGATACACATTTTACTTCTTAATATTTGCACAAAATCCTAGATTGGGACGAGTACTGGGTCAATAGTTATTACACTTTAAATATAAGTAGTATGGCTTAAATCCTATATTATATCATATATAAAATAATTATTTTTTTTTAAAGGTGGACAATATATGTGAATAATAGCATTAAAACTAAAATCCTAAAAAATCTGATTATTATGCATTTATTAAATATTAAAAAACTCAAAACAACATTTACCAAATTGTATTGTATTATTTAAAAACGCATAAAACCAAGTAGAATAATTCCAAATGACGTTGCAAAAGTAATAGAATTTTATAATTCTGTGAAAACAGCAGACTTACAGGTATGAATAATTTTATATCAATGAAAGTTAATGGAAAAAAGAACCAAGTGCAAAAGAGATTAGTTTTATGTAATATAAAAGAATTATTTACCAATTTTAAAGAAATAAACAGTAATATAAAGATAGGTTTTAGCAAGTTTGCTATCATGAAACCAAAAAACTATATTTTAGCAGGCGGGTCTGAAACGCACACAATGTGCATTGCACATTTCATCAAAATTTAAGTTAATTATAATTGGTGGTAAATTAGATAAGTTAACTGCAAACAGCATAACTTTCCATTTCCTCCCTTAAAAGTGTCATAAATAAGTCAATTGTTGGGGAGATAAAGGCGGCAAGACATATATGTAATAATTTTTGAAAATAATAATGATAGTTGCTTGTAGATATATATGTATTCGCGTGTATTATAATAATTAAATTTAGCCAGTTCATTGAGAAACTGTATTTTAATTTTTTTTTATATTTTATTTTTAGATGTAAGAATTAAATTTAGCAAGTTCATTGTGAAAAAACTGTATTTTAATTTTTTTTTTATATTTTATTTTTAGATGTAAGAATTAAATTTAGCAAGTTCATTATGAAACTGTATTTCTGCGCTTCGCTATAAAAGGGAAGCGAAATATTGTAAAATTCATTCATATATTTTTTTTATTTAAAAATTCAAGATGTTTTTGTTTCCGAAATTATAATTTGCTGATTTGAATAAAGTTGAAATTAATCTAATTTTGTGTTAAATCATTTTGGGAAAGATATCAATCGAATAAGAAAAAAACTGAGTAAGCATACGGACAACATGATAGTTCGCTATTTAAATTTACGTCTTATCATGATGATGATGAAGATTATTTTCCTATTTCGTATTATGATAATACTAGATAATACGTCTCATCATGATGATGATGAAGATTATTTTCCTATTTGGTATTATGATAATACTAGATAATAACTATAAACTTACTGACTCATCATATACAGGTATTGATCTATCTTGGTTTAAAATTGCCAAAACTGACCCCCCCTGAATGATCCTATATGACTTACAAGGTCTTACATTCCTGATGACTATCCTATCAATTATCAGTATTCTGTCCTCATAGCAATAAAAATGGCATTGTGGGTCATTCAATTCGAGTATGACGATAAAATATCATCATTGGAGAATCGTATTATAACTGATGATATCACTGCCTCTTTCTTAAACTTAACAGAGTTAAAACATTTACTCTTTAGCATTTTTTTTACGTTCTTTATAGTTTATCTTTGTATTTTTGAGCAGGATATTTACTATAATCCATACAGAATTACAGACCTATATATCTCTTATAATTATAAACAAAAAACACCTATTGATGTCTTCATGGATGCCATTTGTAAGATTAATTTATTATCCACAGTATCGGGCAATCAAACGTATTTAGTCCAACATTCTTCTAAAACATCTCATATCTTACTGAGAGAATCGATCCTCAATTATCAAAATTATGTCTAAAGGATTACTTTCTATACTAAAGGAACGTGTTCTTTTGACTCCTTTGGATACTCCTGTGGAATACAACAAAGCTATCAAACTTGAATTATATCAATATGACATTATGACCCCTGATCTTAACGTCAAATGATTACCCAAAGAAACCCAAATTTATATTGAACGTTACGGATATCATAAATTTTTACTGACACCCTACGTTATCATAACCGAGATTAGGACCATGGATGTAAAGCCTTTTAAAATGTTTTTAGATTGTATATCATTACCAACTATCACTCATCGTTACAGTATAACACCGCTAAAGAGTTCTGACCCTTTTGTATCGAATTATCATGAAGCATTCTGCGAAACGTTTTACGGATTAATCTATAATCAAGATAAAGAAATAAATGAAATTTTACAAGCTTATGACAATGTTATAACAACAATATATAAATTGATTTCTTCCAGCTTGACTGTTTTTTCTTGTCACGACAAAGATGAATACTTATAAAATGATTTAACACAAAATTGGATTAATTTAAACTTTATTAAAATCAGCAAATTATAATTTTGGAAAAAAAAACATTTGAATTTTTAAATAAAAAAAATATATGAATGAATTTTACAATATTTCGCTTCCCTTTTATAGGGAAGCGCAGAAATACAGTTTCATAATGAACTTGCTAAATTTAATTCTTACATCTAAAAATAAAATATCAAAAAAGAATTAAAATACAGTTTCATAATGAACTTGCTAAATTTAATTCTTACATCTAAAAATAAAATATAAAAAAAAATTAAAATACAGTTCCACAATGAACTTGCTAAATTTAATTCTTATATCTAAAAATAAAATATTTAAAAAAATTAAAATACAGTTTCACAATTAACTGGCTAAATTTAATTATTATAAAATATTACACGCGAATACATATATATCTACAAGCAACTATCATTATTATTTTCGAATATTATTACATATGTCTTGCCACCTTTCTCTCCCCAATAATTGACTTATTTATGAAACTTTTAAGAGAGGAAATGCAAAGTTATGCTGTTTGCAGTTAACTTATCTAATATACCACCAATTATAATTAACTTAAATTTTGATGAAATGTGCAATGCACATTGTATGCGTTTCAGACCCGCCTGCTAAAATATAGTTTTTTGGTCGCATGATAGCAAACTTGCTAAAACCTATCTTTATATTACTGTTTATTACTTTAAAATTGGTAAATAATTCTTTTATATTAGATAAAACTAGCACTTGGTTCTTTTTTCCATTAACTTTCATTGATATAAAATTATTCATACCATCAGAATTATAAAATTCTATTACTTTATTTGCAACGTCATTCGGAATTATTCTACTTGATTTTATGCGTTTTTAAATAATACAATACAATTTGGTAAATGTTATTTGAGTAATCAGATTTTTTAGGATTTTAGTTTTAATGCTATTATTCACATATTTTGTCCACCTTTCTTAAAAAAATAATTATTTTATATTTGGTATAATATAGGATTTAAGCCATACTACTTATATTTAAAGTGTAATAACTATTGACCCAGTACTAGTCCCAATCTAGGATTTTGTACAAATATTAAGAAGTATAATGTGTATCTGTAAAAAAAAATTAAAAGAAAAAAACGAGCTATTTTTATTTTACAGCCATTTCCGGTTTTTGGCAATAGACTTTTTTTCAATATATAAATTTTATATCATATTAAAGGGCTATTCTAGAGCTATTTAATAAAATTCATATTGTGTTTCTAGCTTAATTACCTTTTGAGATATTTAAAATTAAATATAGTGTATTTTGGAATTTTCGCGTTTCTAAAGATGGCCATATCTCATGAATTAAGCCAATTTGAAAAGTAAAATTTTAAAACTTTATTAGTTAGCGTATATACTACCAACATACAAATTTTTAAAAAAATCGATGAGCGTCGGGTTTAGAATCGACTTTTTTTGGTTGATTTAATATGGAATACAACATATATATATATATTAAAATATATTATATTATTGCCCTTAGATTCGTATTAAGTATTAGATATGATTTGTTGTCAATAATTATTATTTTTAGTGGTTTTTCTTAGCGATTTAGAACGGGAATTATTAGAAAATAAAGGAAAAATATTCAATTTACTTGCGATATTTTATTTATTTTTTAACAAAAAAATAGAATTATTTTAAGAGTAGTTAAAAAATGTGGGTAATGGCTCAATTGAAGAAAAAAATTTTAATTGGATGAAACGCATTAAAAATTAAACAAGCAGGAGTGCAGATTAAAGAGTTGAGATATATGGGTTGGGGGAACCTGACAAGGTCATGCAAAATTATAAATAAACAAATATAAACGAATAGAAATTTAAATAAATCAGCTGTTTGAAAGGGCAATTTTCTTAGGTTTTGGACCATAATAAAAAATAAATCTTGATATTATTTCACAGCAAAGAAAAAGGGAATCTGAAAGTACTTCAATGAGTCACTTACAACTTAGGGTGTTGTTAAAAAGCCCGATTAGGGTCCATTTTTAAAAAGGGCCCTATTAAGATTTTCGCCAAAATAATATTATGTAAATCTGTGAGCAAAATTTCGAGGCTTACATAAAATTATTTTGGCTAAAATCTTAATCGGGTCATTTTTCGGGCTTTTAATCATTGCCCATATTTTAAATGTGTTTGCCTTGGCCATGTGAAACGAAAAATTTTCCATGTTTCCTCGTTCTGTCCAAATAGTTTTACTGTTAGTTATTTATTTGGCACACAAAGTATTGATTCTTTATTGCAAGGGTTCGAAGGATAGATGATAAATATATATTTTTTTTTTAAATCAATGTGTCAGATGGGAGAAAAATATGAGGATAGGCGGGCACACACATCTCTATTTTTGAAGATTTTAAATCCATCACACCTTGAGAAGTATTATATAAGCGCATGTTGTATATATGTAAAAACTTTTGGCGTTTATTGAATTGCACGTGGGTGATGTCGGGATGCAGCTTCATAAAATCGTCCGTCGCCACGTGATCTAGAATATCCGCCGCTTTCACGAAGAGAGTTCTTTTGTTCTTCTCGACTTTAGGTTAAATAAATATATATGTATCATAGCAAGATTCGGTGCTTGTTGAAAAAGAAAATCAATTTAGCTCAACTTTAAACCCTTTGAGTTATTTTTTTTTGTAGCTTCACTTTATAGCAATTTCAAATCGCGTGAACTTTTTTTCATTTATTAATTATACAAAACCATTATGATAATGCCATATATAAAAAAAAATATATATAGAAAATTTGTTAACCTATTCTTTCCATAACCATGGCCAGCACGTCTTCGGGTAGTGGACTGGTTTCTATGTCTAGATATTTTTTTTACATATAATATATATATGTAGGGCTGTGTAGAAATTAAATATAGGATCGGCACCGATATTTAGCTTCCAAAAATATAAAGGATCGGGCCTATACCTGTAAAAAACCGATCCAATCTTTTTATATTTCCCTTTTTTGTTATTTTATGTTATGTATATTTATTTTACATAATTAAAATATTTTTTTTATCTATTATAATATATTGTAGAAATAAAAAAATTAAATTAAATGCATAATTCAATTTTTTGCGTAAAATAATTTCTTAATTACATTTGGTTCAAAGGGGGGTTGTGAAAAATAAGTATATATATCCGATCAGAAAAATATGTGGATCGACACAGCTCTAATGGAGAGGATTTCATTTTAAGTATTGTTTACTTATATAAAAAAGTGTTTATAATGCTGCAAAGTAAATTATCCGAAATCTTATTAGTGTTGTACTATGCCAGGCCTGAATTTCAAAAAAAAACCAAGTTGGGTGGGAAACATTAGTAAAAAAAAAATTGATGCAAGATCTAGATAAGTTCCAATACCAAGTTGGGTCTAAAATTTTGCCAATTGCGCACACCCGTCAACTACTTATACCATATTCAAAAAAACAATTGTAAAAGTGTAAGTAACCTTTAGCTGGGGAAGTCTTTATATTCTTATTTTTCTCCTTCGTTATCTTCTCATTCATTTCATCATCTTTAGTAGTGTCTTTTTTCTCAATTTCAGTCGTTTTATTTTCATTTTCTTTGATAGCGATTTTTTTCTCGATTTCAATCGTTTTTTTATTTTCATTCGGCTTTCGCTTTTTAACCACCTGCTTTTTCGGAATCACTGCGATGCAATATTTTTTGGGTGAAAAAAGGATTAAAAATAATACTATTACAAATTATACTGTAAGAAGAAAATAAAATATTTTCAAATCAATGACATATATAATACCTAGACTGACGATTCATTCGTTAAAAAGTGTACATCAATGCAAATCAGCTGGAGACGCCATCTTGGTTACACTAATCATTATTTTAATTTTAAACGAGAGCCTAATTTATTTCCTATATCTGATGCAAACTTTATTAAAGAATTACCGGATCATCGAGATAATAAGGAAGCAAGTTATCAATTTAAATTGTAGCTTTTAACATGAGAATAATTACTATTACGTGTTAGCAAAATGGCGGGTCCAGCTGATTTGCTTTTAACGACGCTTAAAAATGCATTTTAATGAATGAATGGTCAGTCTAGTTATTATGTATGTCTTTGCAAATACAAGATTATCATTAAAAAAAACATATTATCTCTAAAATAAACTTATTTCATCATATTATTCCTGGAAAATCTTGTCCTTCATATAAATCTTAACGAAAAAAATGCTTTAGATTATAAGCATCGAATATCTTGGGGGGGGGGGTATGTAAAACAGCACTCAAACCGATTTGTTAAAACGGGCAACTCAATATTTTGGTCAGAAAAATATTTGCCTAAACCTAGAGATTTCGCTAATAGATGTCCACCTTTCATGGCACCTTTTATGATAAGAATTTTCGAGCTTGCATGATATTTTTCTAAGGATATATTGAGTTATCCGCTTTTTAAAAAAATAGGCTTCAGTAATTCACCCATCATTTTTTCGTATCAACAAACCAGAAAAGGGTAATAAAAAAAGCGAATATAACAGCAGCCCGGCTATTTAACTTCGACTAAACGACGTAAAAAAAGGGTTAAAGAAAAGAAGAAAAAAAGGTGGAAAGGAATACGAAAAATAACGATGCCAACAAACAACTTTAAAACGAAACCGTTCAAAAAAGTTGTTTATCCTGCTTAACAAGTCTCGAACCGCGACACAGCCTTAGGAATGGGATTTTAAAAAATCAATCAATTACTTCTATACATTAAAGGTTTATTTTTATTCCCCCCCCTCCCGATTTAAAATATTTTTAATATCTCACAATTTATGGGATCTTTAATAGTTATTATTTCTACCTTTTCGGTTTATGGAACGGGTAATACTTAAAAGAATCATTCGCTATTCGATTAGTATTTGTCGAATACTAATAACGAAACTATTCGTATTCGAAATAACACGAATATTCTATTCGGTTCATATATTATGTGGTACATTTAACGGGTAATAAGAAGTATAAAATAACTTAAAATTTCGTTTATATTTCCACAAAAAAAATATTACGAACGTTTCTGAAATTTTTTGTACACATAAATGTTCAGTATAGTAAGGATAAGTGTACGCTAAAAATAAAAATTTCTATTGGGGTGTAAAAATATGCTTGCTATTTTATATATATTTTTTTTTGCAAAATATCGCAATCCTAGAATGCACTCAAAAACATGTCTCGAGCTAACCAATTCAACTGCCCTAAAGAGAATGCATAATATAAACAACAGGTTCAAATATTCTATTTCCTCATTAATACTATCATTATAGAATTGGATTTATTTATGGCCTGCACGTAAAATTTTTAAACCCGAATTTAGTCCAAATTTGTTGTTTTAGGCCCAAATCAGCTTTGGGCTAACTTGCAGTGCTCTATATAGGGATACTTATCGACGTTACTTTACAATATGGAAATTCGACAATTCCGATTAAAAAAATTACTAACAATTTTCTTTTAATCCCCCTTATAATCACGTCCGATAACGGTTCTTTTTAGACAATAACATTCTAAATTTTAAATAAAAATCTGACAAAATTAGGCATCTTACCAACGAGGTCAAAATAAAATTTGTTTCTTTTTTTGGAACACAATTATTAAATCTATAATTAAATATACATCCCCTTAAAAATTGGATCTTTTTAAATGTTAACTTAATCGACTTTTCATTATCATGTAATTTTATTAGTGCTGTAAACGTTACTACAAAAAAAGAAACGCGTTACCGTTACTCGTTACCATTTTACAAAAGGAACGCGCGTTACCGACTTTTCAAAAAAAGTAACGGGCTAATCGTTACTTAAAAAAATTTAATGTTATATATAATGCAAATATATATTTATTTTTTTCCGACAATATATAATAAAATAAAACTATACAAAAAGAACATATAAGATGAGATCTTTTTATAATAAAAATATCATATATAATTATAATATGAATAAAATTAAACAAAAATAATATATTATAAGATAGCATCTTTATTTAACAATTTTTTATTTATTTTTAACAATTGATTTTCAAAATTTTGATCAGATAAACATGAGCGTTTAGTACTCAACACAGCTTTTGCCATGCTAAACACACGTTCAATTGGTGCAGAGAATGGGAGAATGGTGTTATATTTAATAAACAAAAATTTGAATTTAGGGAATTTATTAAAAATATTTAAGGAAATATCTTTATTTTGAAAAAAGCTTGAAAGATCATCTTCACAGAGATCTTCATTCATTTCCTCATCAAAAAATTTTTATCATTATATGAAAATATTCTAGTGTGTGTTGGATAAAGGAACTTTTATCTATGGCTTCCAGGATTGAATCAATAAGCGGCTTACAAAACTTAGAATTATTTAAAGCCAAGTTTTGATATTATAATGGTTATAATGGGAGTGAGATATCCCAAATGCATATTTTCTTCGCTCTCTAAAATTGAAAGAGCCGTAGCTATCGGTTCCATAACCTATAAAAACATATATATACATATATTTTCACTAACCATACAATATTCATCTATGAACGACTTGTCGTTATCTGAAAATCTCTGTAATCCAGATTTGTTGCAAGATTCATCAAATTTTTGGTAATTTGCCTTAATAAGACTATTTATTAATTTTACAGTTATAGAAAGTGTTATAACAGGTTTAATCAAATATCTACCCATATTTTCCTTAAAAATGGTTGCAGTTAGAAGATTACTCATGTTTATTCCTCAAAAGCTTACATTTAGAAAATGTAATTTTTAAAATGGTTTTATAATTGACATTGTTGAGTGCCTTTTCAGTGTCAATACATAAGATTTAAAGTGTGTGCCGAACAGGAATGATGCTTAGGTAAGTATACAATACTATCATTAATATTTTGATCTTCAAATAGATCAAATAATGGCAGAGGAACTATTTCATCATCCGATTTCTCTCCTTGTTTACTCTATAAATTTTTAATAAATATATTTTATAATTATTTTTACTTGAGAGCTTTTAAATAATTTTTAGCATTATAATAAAATTACAATATGATTATAATATGTTCTTTTAATATTAAAATTTTTATATGCAAATAATAAATTCTTAGTCATAATATTTATGTTTTTTTTATAAAGGTATTGAATTTGCAAAAAAAGTTATTTATATTTTGATAATATAGTCAGTTGTATTAGTTATAAATATAATTTATATTTTTTTTAAAATACTATTAAGAGTAACAAGAATACTTATTTTATTGTAATCTTATTTTTTTAAAAATATTTATGTATAATAAATTTTTAATATAATAATCTGTATAAAATTTATACATTTCAAATTTATTTTATTGTGTACTATCATTTAAAATAAATACATGGTTAAATAATAAGATGCTATATATATGGTATTTTAATAATAAAATTTATAATAAAATTTATTTTTTAAAATTATTTCATGATTAAGTTTTTATATGTTAAAAATCATTTCATGATTAAGTTTTTATATGTTTAAAATAATTATATATTAATTCATTCTTTACTTCAAATGTTTTTTTAAGTTTGAGCTACTTGACATTGACGTTGAAATATTTGCGAATTTACATTTACAAAGTGTAGACTTAACACCATTAATTTTATTAATTGGTTTAAAATATAATTCAAATTGGGGCCAGGGAAGGGTTAAATCTTCTTCATCTGAAGAAGTAATTATTATGGACATAATATTCTTTTAAAATAAATTATAAATTAAATAATAATATCATTATATTTACTTTGAATTTTGATTGAATATTAATTTCGACTGATAATTTAACAACTAGAATTTTAAAAAAAATGTTGGAAGTGGTTGATATGAATTAAAACTCGCCTTAAATTATTAATATTAAGAATTAAAAAATAAATAAAAGTAATTTTATAATACAATAAAATATGTTTTTCTTTTTATTGATATTTTTTAAGAAAAAATATAAAGTAACAAGTAAAGTAACGTTTTGTGTTACCGTTACTCAAAAAAAGAAACGCGTTACCATTACATGAAGGTAACAAATGGCGTTACTTTTTTGACGTTACTTCACAGCACTAAATTTTATAAATAATTTTTATACAATTTTTTTTTTCTTTCTTAAAATAAAACCAAAAAATTGGTGTTGTTAAAAAGTTCCAATTCGGGTAGTTCCTTCAAAACGGCCTGATTAAGATTTTAGCTAAAATAATATTAGGTAAGCATCAAGATTTGGCCAAAGATGTTTGTTTAAGTATTTCTGCAAGCCATGATCAAAAATCTTTGGACTTACGTAATGTTATTTTGGGTTATAACCGAGCCGTTTTTTTAAAAATAAACCCGAATCATGCTTTACTAACTGCACAACAAAACGCAAAAAGATAATAGGAACCAAAGGGAAAAGATGAAGGTAAAATATATCTAATATATATAATTTGTAAATTACCGTCATCCTTGTCTGAACCTTTATTCACTATCTTTAATGGTTGTTGTCCTTTTTTACTTAAATTCTTAGATTTTGTTTTTTTGATTTTTATGTCCTTTTCGTAGTCACTAGCTAAATCATCTAAATCGTGAAAATCGCTATCTTTATTTATATATAAAATATATACAAAAAAAAATTATTTTTGAAAAAAATGTAAAATTTTTAAAAGTGAAATATGGTTGTTCGAAAAATATCGAATTAATATAAGAGTAAAAAAAACAAAAACACGAAAAAAACAGTGCTTGTTGTTTTTTTTTCCAGAAAAAGTTTATTTTTAGTGCACATTAGGCTTTTTTTGGCCATTTCCAAGCTGATTTCTATTTAATAAACTTTATTTTGTCAATTGAAGATAAAAAATAATTTCAAAACTCCTGATACATATGTATTTTTTTTTAATATGTGAGGATAACAAACCTCATTGGTACACATGACATTGTAAGAATTAGAAAAATAAAAATATGACAGATAAAAAAATACTAGAATAAAATACTAAATTCCAAGATTATAAAAGATTTAAAAAAATAAAGATTGTAAAATAAATATAAGAAAAATAGACAAAATTAATATTAAGTTGATAAATTTAGTGGCTAAAGTTTTTAGTCAAATTACAATTTAAAAACATTAAGAGAACTTTTTTGTTAAACAAAGCTAAATTATATTGATTTTAAAAATGGCTAACTCAAGATTTAAGCTAAAAGTAAATTTTCCAAGCTTTAAATTTTGCACAAATAGAAGAATGGTTTGGACAAGTATTGGTAAAATTTTATAGCCTTTTAGAATTAATTTCTATCAAGCTCTTTAATAACATTATATTCAAAATAAACCTTTATATTTTAAATGAAATTATTTACTTTTGGAAAATATAAAAATATATATTTCATGAAAGTTAGTTGTTTTTTAAATCTTATAATATAGGTACTAATAATGGCAAATAAAAATTAATCTAAATTGGGTCAGTGAAAATTTTATAGATTAATACCTTGTTAATAAATGGGAATGACTCATAATTATTAATAATGAGTATATTAAATAATAAATTTAAATAATTTTTAGAATCAATTACAGATTTAAACATACCAATTTCTTCAGATTCCATTTCTTCAGCTTCCCTATCAATTATTGAATCAACATCTGAATCTTCATCTTCCTATATTAATTTAAATAATTTTAAATGCATAAAATATATACTTTGAGTCTTTTGTTGTTATATTTTTTAGGAGTGTTTTTACTCTTATTTCCATTATGAATTGAAATATTTTTCTTAATTGATTTCTTTTGAGATGAACCATTTTTTAGGATTGATTTCTTCGGAGATGGACCATTTTTTTGTAATTTATTATTAGGGCTATTATTTTGCTTATTTGCAAAAATTTTAGATTTTTTTTGAGGTAAACTATTTGGAGTTTTAGATTTCATGTTTCTAGCTTTAGGAGTTTGATTAAATCCACGATTTTCAAAATTTTGATTAGATTTATTTAAGGACTTAGGAGTTTTCTAAATGGTAATATATTAATTTAATCAAATAAATAACATTTACCATGTCGAAATTTTAGGATTCCGGTTTTATAATTTATACGAATACACGACAAAATAATTAATTATAACACAAAATGGACACTACCAAGTAAAACGAGGATGAAAATCCAAAACAAAGGATGAATGATCAGTGATGAATGTGGTGCATTAATTTATCATAAAAATCAAAAAAAAAATTCCGCTCTCCCATGCTACCGGCCGACCTGCTTCTGGTTTTATAGCTTAATCGCTGATTCTGGATTCACTCCTTAATTTGTCAATCTTCATGTTTTTATGATCCTGACTTAAATTGAGGATCGAGATCGTGATCATTTATTTTAACATTCGATCCCGATCCTTTTAAAAATTCACTTTTTACTTAAAATAAAATAAAAATTGTGAAAATTAAATAAATTAATTATTTTAAAAAAATATATCTATCTACATTATATTTTATCAGCTTGCATTTCACCATATAAATGAACATGGAAGCTAAAAATTTGATATGATAAATAAAACGCGAAAATATTTTCTAATAATAAACATGTGCGTGGGAAGGCGTTCTACGGATACATGAAACGTTATTTTTGTGATATTAAGTGGAGGCGATTTGGAATTTCTATCTCGATGGATTACTGTTTTAAGGATTTGGAACTTCCGTTTCGATGGATTTGGAATTTCCATTCATGGATTTTAATTTTTGTTTTTTTGGATTTGGAACTACTGTTTTAAGGATTTGGAACTTCTGTTTCGATTGATTTGGAATTTCCATTCATGGATTTCAATTTCTGTTTTTTTGGATTAGGAACTTCTGTTTCGATGGATTTGGAATTTTTGTTTATGGATTTGGAATTTCTGTTCATGTTGAGTTTCTGTTTAGATGGATTTGGAACTTCTGTTTCGATGGGTTTGGAACTTCTGGAAGCTTTTGAATTTCTGTTTCTATGGATTTGGAACTTCTGTAATTATAATGACAAATATATTATCAATTTTTATTTCCTGTATATATATATATTATCAGAATTCATAAATGTTCTATAATATTATGGAAATTTTTTGCGGAAAAATTTTTATAAATTTAAATCAGATAATGAAGGTTTAATTTATATTTAAATTTACGCCGCAAACCATTTCATAAGTTTCATCATTTTAAATGGTTTTATAATTTTAAGCTAGTTTTTTTATCTTTAAATTGAAAAGTAATATGTCAAAATTAAGAATATTATAAACGCAAAGCTGAATATTGAAAGATTTTTTTTAAAGCCAATCTAAATTAGCTTAAAATTATTAAAATGGCAAGGGTTTCAAACACACCGTTCTGGATTGTAAAATAATCAAAGTTTTAAAATCCGTTCCAATTTGAAAAGCTGTATGGAAAGTAGATCGGATTTTAATAAATAATAAGTTTTTATGATAATATTGCTATCAATAAGCGGTTTTTTCAATATGAAAAAAATTCTAATTTATTAAATTTGTTGATCAGGTCTCATTGCTCTTGGGTTGTGAGGTTACAATGGTTTGGAAGTTAAAATTTAGTTTGCACTTCTGTTTCTATGTCTTTTGAATTTCAGTTTCGATGGATTTGGAACTTCTATTTCAATGGGTTTGGAACTTCTGTTTAAAAGCTTTTGAATTTCTGTTTCAATGGGTTTGGAATTTCTGTTTCGATGGATTTGGAATTTTATCTCGATGGATTTGGAATTTTATCTTGATGGATTTGGAATAACAGTTTTAAGGATTTGGAACTTCTGTTTCGATGGATTTGAAATTTCCATTCATTGATTTTGAATTTCTGTTTTTTGGGATTTGATACTTCTGTTTGTTTTGGTGGATTTAGAATTTCTGTTCATGGATATGGAATTTCTGTTCATGGATTTGGAATTTCTGTTCATGCATTTTGAGTTTCTGTTTAGATCGATTTGAACTTCTGTTTCGATGGGTTTAGAACTTCTGTTTCGAAACTTTTGAATTTCTGTTTCTATGGATTTGGAACTTCTGTTTCGATGGATTTGGAAATTCTGTTTCTATTAGTTTTGAATTTCTGTTTCGATGGCTTTTGAATTTCTCTTTGGATGTTTTTAAAATTTTGTTTCTATGGATTTGGAACTTCTGTTTATATGGCTTTTGAATTTCTGTTTCGATGAATTTAGAACTTCCGTTTCGATGCGTTTGGAACTCCTGTTTTGATGTATTTGGAATTTTTGTTTTGATGGATTTGGAATTTCTGTTTTGATGGATTGGCATTTCTTTTTCTATGGATTTGGAACTTCTGATTCGATGGGTTTGGAATTTCTGTTTCGATGGTTTTTGAAATTATGTTTCTATGTCTTTTGATTTGTTTAGATGGATGTAGAATTTCTTAATTGTAAAAATTAATTGAATTGCCTATATATGAATCCTTAGGCATAATTAAAAAACATTACAACCATTAAAAATCCTAAACAAGAAAATAAAGGTATGAAATTTAAATATTTTTTTAAAGAGAGGGAAATGTGAATAATATTTTATTTGCATATTTTAACGTAAGGATTGAAATTATTAATTTATAAATAAAAATAAATTTAAGCACCAGAACGCGAAAAAATAAATTGGAGACTAAAACGTAAAAAATAAATTGAACACTAAAACGCTAAAAATTAAAACGCTGAAAATATTATATAACAATCTTATGGATTTATCATTCTTCATTTAATCTTATATCCAACTTGATGAACTATTATTTCTCATTATTAACAACTTACTGATGATAATAACAATTTTGAAAATTGATAATAATAACGACTGAGTACTACAAGCAAGCTAGACAAAATAAGGGTTTATAAAGATAACTTACAATAAGGATAACAAGCTTACGATTTAGACAAACCAACGTGCAAACTCGATTTAAACAAACCAACGTACAAACACAAAACGATTTGGACAAGCCAACGATTGAGATGACTTATGCGACAACTTGCTCTCTAGGACTGCTTAAATAAACTTATGATAAGGCTTTTTTAGAAGAGGGATAATGTTATATTATAGAAATTAATAAATATATTATATAATTTGGTTAATAAATAGTATATATTTATAATGTAACGCGCATTCATTTAATTAATAACTTATTCAAATTATATTTTTATTTTAGTTATACTTTTATTTTTATAACTTAACCTTTTTAATATTATATTCTAATTTTAGTTTGTAAAAATATATAAATAGTGGATTGAAAAAGTAAATAAATGAACATTTTAAAACATTCTTTATTTTAGTGTTCCGAGAACGTCCTTCTTCTTTTTTCATTAATACATATTGTATTTGTTTCATAAAGAGAAAACACTTCAAAATGACATTTCTAACACAAATATTTAATTCTCTACTAAAACAAATAAATCTCTGCAAACCAAAGTGGTTGCAAATCCAAACAAACAAAATTAAATTTTTATAATATAAACATGCCAGAAATATTTCAAAAAACAGCTGACTAGGTTATAATAAAATTTATTATCGACACCTTTCAACCACTGTCATGATTGAGATTATAACATTTTCTCCTACTACAAAAATTATGTGTTGTCAAACTCTGGGCAATAAAAATTCTATTGCCTTTACAGATATGACCACAAATCTTATAAAAAAAAATTTGTCTGAAGTCTCATATGTATGCACCACTGCTGATTGTTGGAGTGGTAATGTTTTATTTTAGAACTTTTATCGGAGTTACTGCTTATTAACTGGCCCCATTAACCCTCAAGAGAAGATTAGTGGCTTTGGCACTGAGGCACATAATTGGGCAAATATATGATGTCTTGGCTAAAGAAATTATGGATATTCACAAGACTTATAAAATTCATATGATGATGAAGATGGTGAATCTTTGTCAAAACCTTTAAGTAATATATATATTTAACAAAAATTTTTAGAGTTTTTGGAGAAAATAGGAAATTAGCCTACCAAAACAACAACTTTGTTGTTGTCATATGGATCTTATTGCATAGGAGAAGGCGGTAAATGCTATCAATTTTAAACGATCAACATTTGTTAAATGTTTATTATTTTAAAACAAATAAAATACCTCCCCTATAATGGTTGTTATTCTATTGGAGAAATTGGAAAGATATCTTATAGCTCCCAACAAGACCTATTGGACTCCTAATACAAAGCTCTCTGAAAAGTTTTCAGAAGTAGAAGAAGTTTGTGATCAAATTAGATTCACTATGTTTAGGAAAGAGAAATGTTTCTTTATCAAAAAATATGCATCTATTTAAATAACTAAATTTTAATTATTAAGGTTATGAAACCCTTGGCAACATCATTAAAATCTTTAAACAGGAGGATAAACTAGCAAAATACAACCCCAGTTCTAAAAAATCTAATAGATAAATTAAGGAAATTTAGCTACTTGCAGTATTGTCAGCCCCTCGTAGAGAGTGTTTATAGAGGTATTGATAAAAGGTAATGCAATTATTTTATATTGATGGATATCAGAGACCTGCAAAATTTATTTAAAAATTGCAAGGATCTTGGCAAATTTATTAAGATATTTTTAAAAGCAGGCCTACTAAGCCTCTGATATCTAGTAATATTTTAATAGGCCAGCATAGGCATAAAATGTTTAATAGATTTTTTGAATTTTAAGCTAATATTTTGAGTAATATTCTTTGAAAATATATTACAATATGTTTATTCCTTTTTATATGAAGTCTAAATATAATATTAAAAAATTTAATCAATATTTATGATACGACCCAAATGCTAATTTTAATTATAAATAAATATATTCTTATTGTTATATTATATTATTAAATTCCAATAAATTTGCACAATATTTAATATATTTTTAAATTTATTAATTTACGATCAAAAATTTTCTTCAGAAATTTAAATAAGAAAATGATAGTGATTGTGATCCTTTTTTTTAAATAAAGTCGATCCTCACTATCTTATCAAAAGGATCGTTTAATAGAATGTTAATAGAAATGCAATCTATTTATTATTAAATATAACGCTACAATTTGAAACTGTTTCGTATATTCTTGTAGTTTATACTTTGATTTAAATCACTTTTATTGTCA